TCATGTGCTAGCCCCTATTGCCATCAGCCCAGGAATAGGATTTTGAAATCCACCCTGATTTCCTATCTTATATCTTTTGCTCTAATATCTGCCAAAATAAAATTTTAAAATGGAGAAATTTTCTATGAAATCAGGTCTGGGTTCTTAATGACAACACCTGTTACTACAAAGAGCTCAAAGCAAAACAAAAAATGGAGATTTTAGAGACCCTGCTGTTTTTCTTACCTTTGGAAACTTTTGTTTTCCAATTTAATGGCACCTGAACATGTTATAGGGAGGACTCTACTTCTTACCAAACCGAGAATGCTTGTCGTGTTCAGGAGCCTCGCATTGTCTTTGATCATAAGTGGATTCTGATATTATGCCTTATTGGTCAACTGTTAATCAAGGTGCTGAGTATCACTGTATTAAATCTCATCTATTTGATAAAACGATGGTACATTTACACACTGGTTTCTTATTTTTAAAACTTAGAAGAAAATTATACTATCAAGAATAATATATCTGTAAAATATATATATCTGTAAATCTCCAAGTACTGTTGGCTTTCTATTACCAGAGCCCCTCTATAAATGTCAACTGTCAGTTAGTTTCTGAGTTAGAGAGGAAAGTTAATGAAAAAATAGTCAGTATGGTGTATGTCTTATTCTGTCTATATTTTTATAACAAAAATCAGTTATAAATATAAATCATTATTACATTTACTATATTTTAACAAGCAACAACCTATTGCTTGTTTAATAAATATTAAGTATTCAATGTCTTAAAATAATTTGCTAGACCTGTGTAACCTTACAAATAAAATCCACTGGATTTGGTTTTGTAACACAGGTTTGGTTTCTGCCCCTGCCCAGAAATGTCATAGATGTGGTATTATGTGAGCATGGTGTCCTGAATTTGTAGCAGTAGCTGCCTTGAGTTTAATTTTTTAGAAAATATTAATTCATATTTTTAAAATTGATTATTTGTTTATTTAAGAGAGGGGAAGAGAGGGAGAAAGAAAGGGAGAGAAAGATCAATGTGTGGTTACCTCTCATGCACCCTCCAACGGGGACCTGACCCACAACCCAGGCAGGTACCCTAGACTGGGAGTTGAACCTGTGACCCTTTGATTTGCAGGCTGGCACTCAATCCACTGAGCCACACCAGCTACAGCAAGAAATTATTAATTCATTTTATGTATGGCATCTATAGGTCATTCAAATTAGGCCTCAACTATGGTGTATGTTTTCCGGGCAGAAGTAACTGATCTAACAAGGTTATATGATACCTTCTCTATGGGCCCCTACAGTCCCAGACATAAAGTATTTATTAATATTAGTATATTTTACTGCCTCAGAATTTAGTGTACCTAAACAGTAAACAGCTTGGTTCATTAATCTCCATGTATCTTTTATTACCTGTTAAAACAGGCCTGTGTTTGCTCCTAATACTAGAGGAGATTTGTCATAGCTCTTTTTTTTTATTTTTTAACTTTATTTATTTTGCTATAGCTCTTTTGTGTGTCAGATCTACTGTAGCTCTTCTTTTCAGGGAATTGGATCCCCTAGGAGGAAATCTGTCTATAACTCTTCTACTCTTGTTTGCTCTTACCTGAGTGTAACAGGAAACTTTGATGAAGTCACATTTATAGCTGGGCCTTTGACACTACATACATTAAATCTTTAAAAAGTTAACCACACATGTGTCTGGATGCTGTCCAAGATTTTCAAGAGAGACTTACAAATGAGAACTGTCCTGGACCTCAGCAAGTGTGGGAACCCACCCACTTTTTCCCACCCCACCACGATCCCAAGATCTCCTCCTCTTCCTCCTCCTCCTAAAGGAATTGGTGCTACTGAGGACCAATCTGGTATAAAATAATTTGGAAACATATTTACTTAGGAATGTAATGTGATTTGTTTGTATTCAGTAACAGAGATATCTGAATTCTTCCCATGATGATGTGCCTTCTGCATTCTTTCTGTGACTAGTTCAATTTTAATCTTCACTCTGATCCTTGGGGGGATATCATGAGCAGTCCTCAGGAGTAAGGGAAGAAAACAGCTTTGAGGTACTACTCAGCAAGGGAATAAAGGGATTTTTTGACTACAGGAAGTGATTTGCAGATCTTCATAAGGATTTAAAACCATGTATACTTTTTTACATGGCTGTTAATTTTTCATATCTCCATGATGAAACCCAAAATGACTCTGGCTTGTTTTCCAGAATAGCCAAGAAGCAAGGAACTGGAAAGATTGCTTCCTTTTCCTCAGTCCTACAAGAACATGACACTCAAGGGAGGGAGTGGGTGGGAGTAGTTTTATTGAGGAAGGAAAAGCAGGCCTACTCCCTTGGCTGTATGGGAAGAAAGTGGGGTCCGTGGGACTGTCTGGGCTGGAGAAACAGCAGTTCCTGACACTGATAAATGATTCCATTGGAAATAAATGAAGACCTTCTAACACCAGAGCAACATTATCATACTGTACACTGGGGTAAGGAATTTTGTATGTGGCAAATCCTTGGATCTTATTCAAAGAGGAGAATGAGTTGGGTGGGAATCAGCCAACTTAATTATAATATACACATTTGCTCTTGTGTTACTCCAGGCCCTGAGAAGAGTTTGACCATGAATCAGAATAATAATTTTATCTTACCTTGTAAGAAGGGAAAATACATGCATGTAGTCTCAAGGATGTAAAACTTTTCATCTCTTTCTGTATACACACACACACACAATATTCAAGGCTGCATTACCGAAATCATAATTTTCAGAGGAATTTGAAACAAATGTCTGTGAAATGGGAGCAGGGCTATAAGAGAACTCAATGGTTATGGAAAAAATACAATAAAACATAGCAAAAAGCAAAAAAAGTGAATGTATTTCAAACTTAAAACTTCTTGTGATTCACACAGAATAATGATGTTAAGAAAAACTTCATTGTGCAATAGATTGTGTGCAGAACTATTCTGTGGCATATTCTAGGTGAAATTTTCTCTCATGAGTGTTTTACCTTTTTGATTCAGGCAAAATTTAATATGGTTTTAACCAAAAGATTTATAATTCTCATGGGGAAAATTAAGAATTTTAATATTTAGAAAGGAAGAAAGTTATTTAAATTGGTTCCATTTATCTATTTAAATTGCACTCATGTATTTAAGTATTATTGTATAATTTGAATTTTCTTCCACTCTTATATCTAAAAATACTTTCTTGGGATTCTTACTTCATTATGTGCCAGCAAATGAATTATATGGCAGCAAATAAATTAACCCTGAGTTTTATCTAGTAGTGCCTAAGTTTATAGAGCTGACAAAAATAGCTTGAGCTTAGTGCAGATAAAGAAAACCTTACCTGACTTCTACGTACATTTAATAAAAATAATGTCACTATACTGTATACTGTACCATATAGGAAAATAGTTTCATAGAATCGCTTTTAGGGTTTAGCATAGTCTTAAACACTTTTTTTCAGAGTTTCTTTGTATTAATCTCTCTCTTTAAATGTGTCCACTTTGGATATGTTTAAAGCATCTGTTTTGGATACATTTAAAGCATCCTCTTCGTACTAAAAAAACTTTACATGGCTATTGCAGAGCTAAATGTAATCTACTTTGCAATTTTCTATTTAGATAGTTTAGTCCCCCTACTAAATTGTAATTCACTAAACAAATAGGCATTTTCCCTTCACCCCAGCCCTTTTTGGTAAATATTAACAAATGGTTGTTCACTTATATATGACTATTATAGTTTCTATATTATTAGCTATATTAACTATCAAGTTAGAGTAATAATGTAGATACCATATTATTAATTATGGAGGTGGAGTCATTCAGTGTGCTAGCTGTGTGCAATTTTGTTAAATAAATATGCAATTAAAAGTACATATATTTTTATATTTTTAGGTGCAGTGTGGATGCCCAGACATACACACCTAGTACTTCCTTTTCTAAGCCCACTAGACTTAGTTGTGACTGCCAGCAAGGGTGACTCTGCCTGAGGGCTTTTTTCTGGTTACTGGAGACCTCTCCATCCCTGAGAGGACATAGTGGAGGAATTAATGACCCCCAGGAGCAGTACTCAACCAACCTGTCAGGAGTTGATGAGTCCCAGCTTCCTTGCCCCTCAGTTAGCATATCTATAGGGTTTGACACTATCTCCTAGAGTTCTCCAGTGGAACTAAGGTCAGTTTCCCACCATCGTAACTTGATAATATACCATGTGATGGCTCTCTTTCCTTCCCTGCCTCATTTCTCCATGCCTCTATTGACATTTCCTGGGTAAACTCCAGGTTAAACTACTTGCAGTCTAATCCTAGTCTCAGAGTCTCAGAGTCTCAAAGGGTAATCCAAACCAAAAGTAGGGTTCATATGTCAAAGTTTACATTCTTATCTCTATTTTGATAATGTCCAATAGAAATATAATGCAAACCACATACGTAACAAATTTTTCTAGTGTCCACATTAAAAAAATGAAAAGTAACAGTTGAAATTAGTTTCAATAATACAATTATTTAATTCAGTGTATCCAAAATATTATCATTGTAACATGCAATTGATGTAAAACACACTCATTAAATTTTTTTGTACAAAGCCTTTGAAATAAGGTATGTATTTTACACTTCAAATTCATATTTATTCAGATTGGTTATGTTGCAGGCACTGAATAGTCACCTGTGGCTAATGGCCACCATATTGGACAGTGGTGATCAATTCCCTACCATCGTAACCCATGTGTCAAAATTTAGAGACTTGATAGCTCTTGAATATATATGAGCCTGTATGATGGGCCACAGTTTCCCTTTTTAGCAAAATTTTGCTTGTCTTTTCCTTTTCTGTTAAGCTGAATAAAATCTCTGTAAATATTTAGACTGACAAAAAACTTGTTTAGTCTGTATTTGCATGTTTATGTTATTTTAAGAATAAGCCCCTGGCAGTAATAATTCTGAGACTCACTGCTTTGTATATGTTTGCATGCAAAATATAGATGTGATGCTCAACATCTTTTTGTGTGTTTTTCAGGCAGAGGGTACCAGACTTCAGCGGGAACTCCGAGGATATTTAGCAGCTATCAAAGGTAATATGTGTGAATTGTTTATAGCATGTTACCAAGTACAGGTTGTTCTTGGAATTCATGAATGACAGGATTGAGTGTTAATTATACAAAGTCATTTGGCCTTCTGAAAAGATGGCACTTGATCAGAGGTGTTTCAGTCCACCCACTCCCAAATTCCCATTGAAGTGATAATCAGAATATGCAAGGAAAAAAATATGTCTGCCTTGTTGCTGGAAACCAGGAATAAGTGCCTCACACATGCTAGAGTTTTCTAGGAAGAGTTGTTAAAGCAAACTTGAGACTTTAAGAAAAGCTGCAACTGGTTTACCTCCTAGGGGAGAGTATGTCCCAAGAGAACACTCCCAGACTCACACTTAACACCCTCTAGCTAGAAGGGGTAAGAACAGTGGCAGAGACAAGTGTGGAGAATTATCACAGCCCTGGACTGCCTGTGGTTTGTAGGGACCAGCCACACCTGCAGCCCTGCCACTGTCTGGGGGAAGAGAGGACCTGACATTGGTTTCTGCCACAGTCATAAAAAGGCAAAGAAATGAGGCCAGTGGTGAAAGGAGGAGAGAGCACTAGGGAGGAGAGTTCTTTCTCTACCTGCTGTATATTATCCCGTTCCCAGCACAGAATCAGACCTGAGTGTACTCACAGGTGTGATGGGTCACAAGGCAGATTTTGAGATTAGTGGGGAGAGAATGGATCATCTCACAAGGTATCTTGGATAAACTGTCCAAACACTTGGAAAAAAGTGAGATTCCCAACCTTATATTCTACTCCCTCTTCCTTGATTTCAGATATAATAAAAATTTAAATATGTGTATACTATAGGTATACTAGAATGTTAAGATAAATACAATACACTTAGTCTCTAGTTTTAGTTGACAAGGTCTTTACCAGGGTAACCAAAGACATAAAACATGACAGGAAAGAGAGATAGCTGATCTCACAAAGATATAAAATGAATATATGTATATTTAAAAAGTTATTTAGACAACACACTTAATGAAAATAAACCAAAATATGAAGAACTTAGTAAGTAAACTAAATGAAGATCTGTTGTTTGAAAGAGAATGAATAGTCAAACATGACATTTTCTTTTGACAATATTCAAAAGAAAATTAGCCAAGAAGAACTGTAGATGGGTAACAGATTTGAAAAATGCTTTTCCTCATGAGTAATCAAAGAATAGTAAATAAAACCAAAAGAAAGATGATGTCATTTTTCTTCCAAATATTTAAAAACATTAAAAATTTAAAAAACAACTGTAGACCCCTTTTATACACTGATGGTAGGATAGCTTTCCAGGAGAGCAGTTTGTTAAAAGGCTTTAAATGCATTCTTTGGCATGCTTTTTGACACAGCAGTTCCTTTTCTAAAATTTATCCTAAGAGTTTCAATGTGAAAATGTGAAATTTATTACAAAAAATTAATAAATAATAAAATAATGAAAACCTTAATAATAAAAATTAGTCACAATAAAAATTAGTGAAATTAGTTTTTAAATAATGTTTTACTTTTTAATACAATTGACATACATTATTATACTAGTTTCAGGTATATAATTTAGTGGTTAGAACTTTATATAACTGACAAAGTGATCATCCAGGTAAATCTGGTACACATCTGACACCATACATAGTTATTACAATATTAATGACTACATTCCCTATGCTATACTCTACATCCCTTTGACTGTTTTATGACTGCCAATCTGTATTTCTTCATTCCTTTACTTGTTTTACCCATTTCCCTCAACTCTTCCTCTCATATAGGAATTGTCAAGAGTGTTCTCTGGATCTATGAGTCTCTTTCTATTCTGATTATTATGATTTTTAGAGTCCACATATAAGTGCAATCATATCACATTTTTTTTTCTCTGCCTGACTTTTTTTACTCAGCACAATACCCTCTAGGTTGATCCATGTTGTTGCAGACAACAAAATTTCATTCTTTTTTATGGAAGACATTCCATTGTATAAATGGACCACTTCTTTATCCATTAATCCATTGATGGGCAGTTAAGTTCCTTCTATATCTTAGCTGTTGTAAATAATGCTGCAATGAACACATGCATGTATATGTCTTTTTGATTTAGTGCTCTGTTTCTCTGGGTAAATACCCAGAAATGGAATTGCTGGATTCTTCTTTGTCTCTTGTAGCTTTTGTTTTAATCTATTTTGTCTGGTGTAAGCATCGTTTTATGTTTTGTTTTATATCCATTTTTATGAAGTACACTTTTCTATCCCTTTACTTTCAGATTATAGGTGTCTTTCCATCTGGAGTCTCTTGTAGACATTAGATGTCTTGTTTTCTTACTAATTCAGCCACTCTATATCTTTTGATTGGAGCATTTAATCCATTTACACTTAAAATAATTATTGATGTATATGTACTTATTGCCATTTTATTATTCATATTTTTGGTTCCCCTTCTCCTCCACCTCCTTCTTTTCTTCTTCCTCTTTATTCTTCTTCAAGGAGACACTTTAATATTCTTGTAGTACCCATTTGTGGTGAACTCCTTTATCTTTTTTCTTATCTGGGAAGCTTTTTATCTGTCCTTTGATTGTAAATGATAGCTTTGCTGGGTAGAGTAATCTTGGCTGTAAGTCCTTGCTTTTCATCACTTTGAATATTTTTGTGCCAATCCCTTATGACCCTTAAAGTTTGTGTTGAGAAATCAGTCTAATGATAGCTCCTTTGTAGATAACTAACTGCTTTTCTCTTGCTGCTTTTATGATTATCTTTTCATCTTTTACCTTTGGTATTTTAATTATGGCGTGTCTTGGTGTGGGCCTTTTTGGGTTCAACTTTTATGGGACTCTGTGTTTTCTGGACTTTATTTCCTTCACCAAGTTAGGGAAGTTTTTAGTCATTTCTTCAGATAGATTTTGAATTTCTCTCTTTTTCTGGTACCCCTATGACACGGATGTTGTTATCCTTGATCTTGTCCTAGAGGTCCCTTAAACTGTCTTCGTTTTTTTATTCTTTTTTATTTTTGCTGCTTTACTTGGGTGTTTTCTGCTTCTTTGTCTTACAAATTGCTGATTCAGTCCTCTTCTTCATCTACTCTACTGTTGATTCCTTCTAGTGTATTGTTTGTTTCTGTTATTATATTCTCCATTTCTGACTGGTTCCTTTTTATGGTTTCTATAACCTTTTTACTATTACATTTTTAATCTTCACCCAAGGATATGTTTATTGATTTGAGAGAGAGAAAGAGGTTGGGAGAGAGAAACATTGATTTGATAAACATTAATATGAGAGAAGCATCAATCACTTGCTTCCTGTATACTTCCTGACCAGGGATCAAACCTGCAACCTAGGTATGTGTCCTGACTGAATTGAACCCACAGCTTTTTGGTGTGCAGGATGACACTCCAACCAACTGAGCCACCTAGCCAGAGCTCTATGACCTTTATTATGCTCTTGAAGTTCTAAGTTCTTTGAGTATTATTATAGTCAATATTTTTATATTCAGTGTTTTGAACTCTATCTGGTAGTTTGCTTGTCTCCATTTAATTTAATTCTTTTTTTCTGAAAATTTCTTTCATTCTTTTATTTGGTAACTGTTTCTTTGTCTCCCCAGTTTGGCTGCCCCTTTATGTTTGTTTCTATGTATTAGGTAGATCTGCTATGTCTCCTAGTCTTGGTAGAGTGGCCTTAGGTAGTAGGTGTCCTGTAGGTTTGGCCTTCCTATTCACTCAAGCCAGATGCTCCAGGTGTACCCCACATGTGCACTAACCTGTTATATTTGAACCTTTATCACTCTTGGCATATCAATGACTTCTAAGCTTATTGTCTAGTAGGACCAGCTGCAACTAAAATGGGATAACTACTGTTCAGGGGCCCACCCCAAAGAGCAAAACTTGCTTCTTCAGCCCTGGTGCCTGCAGCTTGTGTGTGTCTTTCATGGCAGTGGTTGGGTTGTACTCTAGCATGTTTTATAGTTGTCCACCAGGTATGCTGACTCTGGGGCCTCCCAGAGGTGCAGGCTGCTTGTTCCCTGTCTGGGACCACCTGTCATTTGCTACAGAGTGATCTACAGCTTGCTACTTTTGCTGATACCTAAGAGTGGCCAAGCTGCAAACTTAGTCCAGCCATAGCTAGTGTGGACCTGGGGCCTCTGAGCAAGAAATTTGGGGCATGCCGAGGCCAGACGCTGCTTGTTTGGAGTTTTCAAATTGAGATATTTTAGGAAAGTCTGCAACATGAGCTTAGACAGGATGTTTGTATGGAAAAGCTACAGGAAGTGGCTTGCCTGGGCCTGGTAGTTGGGTAGGGTGGGGTCTCAGGGAATCACCAGGGCAGGGTGAACAGTGTTAGTCAGATTGATGGAGATTTGGATATGGCACCAAACTGCATATGCATGGGGTGTACTCAGCAAAGGAACAATGGCTTCTGCCAGCACTTCTGTCTGAGAGATATCTGACCCTCCACCTCTCACCATCAAGCCAGATAATTCTGTTCCTCCCCATATGTCCCTGGAGCTTTTTGAACACTTGCCTTAGCACTGGAGCTCAGAGTGAGTTAGTCCAAGTAACTTTGTGTGGGCCCTTAAGGGGAAAGCCTGGGACTCCAAAATTCTTTTGTCTTACCGAGCTGCAATCCTTGCTGGTTTTCACAGCCAACAATTATGGGGAACTTTATCTTCCTGGCATTGGAGCCCTGGGCTATGGGTCCTAATGTGGGCCTGGGACATCTTGCTCCTCAGGGGGGACCCCTGCAGCCTAGATATTTTCCCCAAGTTTTATTTGCCACATATTGTATGGGACCAGCTTATTTCATGTTGCCCTTCCTCTTACCAGTCTTGATGTGGTTTCTTCTTCTGTATATCCTTAGGTATATGATTTCTGGTTAGCTAGATTTCAGGTAATTCTGAATTATGGTTGTTCTTATAGTTTAGTTGAAAATTTGATGTGGTTGTGGGAGGAGGCCAGCACTATGTTTACCTACTCTGTCATATTGATTGGAAGCTGAAATTGATTTTTAAATTAAAATGTATTTAAATTT